AAATAATAAATATTTTGCTAATATATACTAAATATAGAAATTTAATTAAAATTGATTAAAATAGAAGTGATTTATTGTGCGGATCAAGGAATAGCACCTAAATTCTATGCATATAATAAAATACCTGGCTGGTCTATGGTTGTTATGGAATACCTGACAGAATATGTTGATATTTACACTGCCATGCATGATCTTAAGCTAGATCAAAAAGTATTGTTCAAGAAAGCAGAAGAGACTATTAAAATCTTGCATGATAGAGACTTTGTACATGGTAACCTACAAGCATCAAGTATCTTGGTTTCAATTGATATGAGGCAAATGAGAATTGTAGACTTCGTTTGGAGTGGGTTAAATGGAAAAGTTTTTTATCCTTATTTTATAAACAACTCCGTTCCTTGGCATCATGAGGTAGACTGTGGAAAACCAATTAGGATGGAACATGACAAATATATTTTTAAAAAAATATTAGGATGTTGATCCTTCCTTTGTGGATAGTTTTACGCATTTTTATAATAACAAACACTTGAAATTTATAATGTTTTTTATAATGTTGTTTAGTGCAAAAGTTGTTATTTTATTTGTACCTAAAATATTTAAATTCTTGCAAATTATTTACTATTTATCAGAATAATTAACAATGAATAAAAAAGTGAATATTGTGACTATACATGCAGCCCAAAGTATTTTGACACTGTTGTAAAGGTGGTTACACATGTCGTAAAGGGATGTTACATTTATGTTTTTAATAGTAAATGCCATAATTAATTTTGACTTTCGACCTTCAAAATTGGGATAATTTTGACTTTTGACATCAGCAAATCAATTTGTTCTGCATGTATAATTGTGACAGATCCAAGATATGTTATGTACTAGTTATTGTATGGGTGTTTAAAATATACATACATACTGTGGACTGGCGATAAAAACCACTTCCCTTCTATATATGGCAATAATTCATAAATCACTTCTATTTTAATCAATTTTAATTAAATTTCTATATTTAGTATATATTAGCAAAATATTTATTATTTTTTTTACTACAAACATTTTTCCAATTATTTATTATTTAAATTTACTTCAGGAAGTAACATGTTCAATTTATCCATATTTATCATTATATATATATATAAATAGTTAGAATAGGGAAGTAACGAATTCAATTCATTCTTAGAATTAAAATTCGTTCTTGGCGAAGAGCCATGTAAGCAAAGCTGCTTACGAATTTGTATCACTTTAATATTAAAAAGTATTTAAGAGAGAGGAAGTTGAAGTCCTCTTCTCATCATGTTCTCACACATACTCCTTTGAAAATAATAACTTCTAATGCTTGTAATAACAATATTATAATCAAAATAATAAAGTTACTACTATTTTGGCAATGTAACCCCCATGGGTATCTTTAGGGTTTGTATTCACGGATACCATGAATACCATTAAGGGGGTTACACACTATTAAATCAGCAAAAAATCCCTTAAAAACGCTTGATTTTGATAGTATGTGACCCTGTGTGACCTCCTTATGGTATCCGTGAATACAAACCCTAGGTATCTTCTTACTTATTGAAAACACTAATTGTTTTATAAACCAAAACTCTTCACTATCTTCTATTAATTATTGTTGATCTGATGAGGGACGCTCCTAGGAATAACTATTATCTTGAACACTAGTGGATATTCTTTGAGAGAATAATATATAGATGCTGGTTTTAAAGGAAGTTGAAAGACTACTTCGAGGAATTTATAAGTATACTTGAGTATTTTGGTTGGACAGTGTGATGAATATTATATTTTGGTTGGTTAGAGTCCAATGAGGCTAGTGTTAGTGACTTTGTTTAAAGAAAATAAAGTGTATTGGTAACAATCCCACCAGAAGTTGCAGTATACAGATTTTGTATTATTATTTTAACTATTTTTAAATATCTGTGATACACCCCAAACTTCACAGTTCACAATACAATAAATTAATATACAGTTCGCTCTCTATAATGAATACTAAGTAAAATCTCTCTATAATCTTAGTAAACACTCTCTATAATGAAAAATCACATATAGGGATGGAAGAATCCTGAAATTTTGAAAATGTAAGGTGCAATTTTCTCACTTTGTTCTTTCTTCAAAATACTTCTAATGGTGTTGTAATTCTTGGGTCCCATAGTAGATCTGATGTAAATGAGTTTCATATTAACTATTTTTGTCTAGACAAATACACAGGTAATACAATTGTGATGTTAAACAAACATTATTGATCCCTGAAATCATTAGTAACACCAATGTTTGCTTTGTCTGGTCAGGGACAATGATTTTCTGCATAGCACAGAAATCACAGAATATGTGTTTAAAAATGGAAATACTATTAATGTACTGCAGAATACCACAGATAAGATAAAAAAGGGAATAAGTGTAACATGATAATCAAAATTTTTTTTATAATGAATAGAAGAAAAAGTACAAGAACAGTTAAATCAATACTAGAGTGAAAGAAAATCCTGGTGAATGATGGAATAGCATAGTGGACATTTGATTTCATTGGCTAAATTTTGTGACGATCTCCCTTCCAGATATCACGCAACAATTAAATT